CAGAACTGAGTTGAACATTTGTCAATCATTGGTGTCAAGAGATCAGCCTATGTACTGTTGACTTGGTGGCTCTGATGAGAGCAAGAATCGTGTCCTTGGCGGCGATGTCTTTGCTGTGGCACTGATCAAAGTGTTTCTTATCAGTAGCATATGTATTCCCTCTGCTTTCAGTCCATGCAAAGTTTGAAGACTGATGCTCCTTCTATCAAAGTTGTTAGGTTCACTGAGTTCTTAGTGTGTATCTGTATTTACTGTAAGTGTGTGCTTGTGTTTCCAGGCCAGAGTACCATTACGTTTATCTATAACTTTGTGGAAAGCTTCAAGGGACCTCACCCAGGTTTTGCAGTACTCAGTGGGCGTCCACAAGCAGGTAACATATGTAATAAATTAATTTTATTAAATTAATTTTTTCACAACAGTAATATATTTGTACATTGTGGGCATTTTTTCCAATCATAGAGCATGTTCTGATAGTTTCACACCCATAATATCAAATGTGTTGTCCATGAATTATCATGTGATAGCTCTAAAATATACATATGTATTAGTCAGTATGTAGTTAATTGCTGAGCATGTGTTATCTTAGGCTACAACATTGTCATCTAGTGGTGAAAAGTAATTAGTGCACCAAAGTGACAGCTGCCTATGAAAACCTATCGATCACACATTTCAGCCCATGAAAAGGATGTGAAAATCGAGGCTTCTCTCCACCACCCATTCTAAAAATGATCCAGGGTTTACTCTTGAAACAATCAACCACTTTTACCCATAAAAATGAATTTTCCTCTCATTCTTCTCTCTACTTTCCTTCTCTCCTCTGGAAACCAGGCCAGCCAGCCACCTTGATGCTCTCAGTAATGGGAAGGAAAGGTCCGTCATCAATGAGTGTTGGAAACATTGGCCTAGTAACTGTGTCTGGTCCTGAGGTTGTGAGCAATGGTACGATGACTGACATGGGTAGCGGAGACATCCTGGTGACTGTTGACATGGTCCCTGAGGGGGAGTTTGTTGTCATTCTGAAAGGAACAGACAAAGTGTCAAACTCTGAATTTCAGAGGCAGTCTACCACCCAGATGTCTGTCTCCAAAGTGAACATCCAGGTCAGTCTCTTCACGTCCTCCTCACAATCTGTCTACCCATTCATGCAGCCTCTGTTTGATGATCACTAACAGAAACCATGGGGGTAGCAAAGGAATTGGCCTACTGCACAGGTTTTCCACTCTTTTCTACAGATAGTTTCTCAGGACATTTTCAGTGATGATCTACCTCATGTGATAGACAGGAATCACACCATCCACCAATATGTTCCTATCTGTCGAAGTATGTTTCAAAATAAGTGCAGTCTATACTTGGATATACTTATCTAAATCATCGAAATCATCTCTCACATGCTTAATTAATTAGGAAATTAGGAAATAAATAATTATGACGAAAGGTAAGAGCCTTGTCACATAAATAAATTTTATCATTACTATTATCCTTAACCTTATTAATTCATAACCTCACTCACTTTTTTAATGAATACTATTAACCATTGCTGCCTGAACACCAATAACTTAAAAGCCTGTCCTGAAAACCAATAACACAAATAGTAGCCTACAATATCCCAACTGACAAATCTAGATTTAACTTTAGATAAGTAAATGTGGCATTCAAATATGCAGACTGCCGCTAGGTCTCATCAGTTTATCACACTTAGACCCTTTACTAGTAATATAAAGTGGAGTCTTCACCAAGGTCACACCCACTGTCACACCTGGTTTGTTTTACCTGAACAATGCAGCAATGGGTTTGAAGTGAGACATTGCTGGGAAGAATTGGGAAGAATATGTTAAACTATAAACCTAATAAAAACTACCAGAGTTAGCAACCAACAGTGACATTTAAAGGATAAAGACCTTTTAGTTTAGTTTTAGCTACTTAAGTTGTAAATCATCCAACCTGCAGCATGTGATGTGACTTCAGGTTGCATTCACAGCATAGCCAAACAAAACCGATAGCAGCCCATTCAAAATACTGTCATCCATAAACTAGCCTACCATTTGAACATCAACATGATCCTGACCAGAACGTTGCCCAAAAACAGGAGAATGTTGAAACCATTTCACTTTTCTCTCATTTTCCATGTGTTTTCCATGATTGGAAAACTGGCCAACTACTTTCCAGGATATCCAGATTTTCCAGGATGTGTGGGAACCTTGCTATATCTAACCACTGATATAAACCCAGTTTATTTGAGCGTTACACATGGAAAAATATTAACATGTTTCAAAAATGCTTTTTCACCAGTTTTTTTCCCATGTTCTTTTCTTCCATTTTCTCTCCAGGCTGTGGTAGACAGCAGTGTGGAGCCAGGAGAAGCCTTCAAGCTCCCCTTCAGTGTAATGACCCAGGGCTCTGGTGGTCAGTATCACATCAGCGCCAGAAATGATAGAAACTTCCCCATGTCCTACTCAAGCAGGTGAGGAGAGGAAACTAAAAAGAACGCCTTTATTAAATGTCCTTATAATCAATGAAATGATACGGCAACATTTTGGGAAAATGCTACTCCCCTTCTCACAGAAGGTAGGTTGTGGAAAAGACACTGCACCATTGACTTCAGACCAGGTTTTTGTTGGTCAATCACGCAATCGCTTTCTACTACCTCAAGATAACAATGCACCTGACCACACCTCATTTTAAGCCCAACATGCACATGGGCACTCACATGGGTGCAATTGCCATGCAATGTGGCCACTGGATGGGGAAATGACAACTGCGTTGGTCTGAAACTAGAAAAAACACTTGTGTGTTGCGGCAAAGTAAAATCTGGGTGGAGTTACATGTGCAACCCTACCCACCAGTTGGAGTTAAGGTAAGGTAGGTCACATGTTATTACTCCACCCAAACAGATTACTTAACCGCAAGCTGCCCACAACAGAAACCTCTCACCCTCTACATCTTTAAATTTCAATCAAAATCAAGTGTGTGGATTGTAAACAATTACAGTTCCTGTAACCAAGAAAGGTATTTTTCTGTCTTCTCTTGACAGCCTCACCTTGACAACTGGAAGATATACTAATGATACGTTGAACATTACGGCACCTGCCGACACACCATCAGGCACTGATGTCACTCTGACTGTGGAAGCCAAGTCGTCCAGTGGTGTTGACTCCAATTATGTCGTGTTGAGATTGTCTGTTGTCACCAAGGTATTCAGACACATCCTGGATCACACATAGAGTGAAATAAATAAATACAAAAGCTTTTGGACAAAGCCAACGAACACATGCACAGAACACATAAATTCCTCACCTTCCTTTTTCTGTTCTCTTTTCAGATAACAGATTTTGATCAGCCTTTGTGTGAAGTGGTTAGTGTGCAGGCTGATGATTGCCCTCAGGATGTTTCTCAGTGTGGACCTTTCAAGTGGGAGCTCTCGGCCAACCTTACTGATGGAAACGGCACTGGGATCGAGAGAATCTCCCTGCAACAGGGTAATGGATCCCTCTCATACACCTCTCTGAGTGCTCCTGTTGTCCAGGCGAACTACAACGCCTCCTGCTGCTCGCAGATTGTGGAGATCATAGCTGTAGATAAAGTTGGCAATGTGGGAAAATGCTACCAATCAATTGTTCGTTCGGATGGCCCTCCTGCTTTAACTCTGTCATTGCCACTGTGGTTGTGCCTGTTGGTGTCTGCTTTTGTAATCAGACCTTGAAGGGCTTAGTTTAGGTTGTGTCTTATTTCTGTATGCTGCATCAGGTATTGGACACTGTTGATGATTTTAAATTACTCAAAACAATTTGCTACCATGATGGACTGACACATTGGTGACAGTCATCTTAAGCCCAGATATGCTGTTAGCGCAAAGTGTGAGCACTGATTAAACAATGGATGACGAATATATACTTAAATTGTCTGAATTAGACTGTTTGCAATGAAAAACATTCAGATGTATGTAATGTTTGAACATTTTCTAGTGTCTATAATACGTTTCAGTTTTAGCAGCAGAGATCTTGTTTAGGACAAGGATGAATATATTTAAAGAAAATGTTTTATTCTGAAAGAATAAAAGAAATGAGCAATAATTTTGTCTTAAGTCTTCGTCTCCGGTGGCTTTACTGATACTCTGGGTGTAACTGCCAAGTGTAGAACACAGCGCAAGGCTATGGTTTATATACCCACAGTTACTCTTGGACCTTTTACTCATGAGAAAAATAAATCAGTGCATAATCTGAGAGTGAAGCAAGATTATTCTCCCTTTTTAATCACATTTACCATGTAAAAATACACGTGTAAAGTAAATGATCTATGGACACATTTCACATTTTCATGAAATAAAAATTTTATTCAATGCTCAAAGGCAACCACAGGGTCCACAGGGTGTGTTGTACATGCAACAGTTGGTCTGCTGTGGTGGGCTTTGTGGTCGCAGAAGCAATGATTGCAGGAATAATACTTACTACAGTGGCACTAAAAGCTTAACGCACTACAACTTAAGAAAACATAAGTGCAATTAGATAAAACACAAGGAAATTAAGAAAAAATCTCTATCAATGCTTTTTGTGTCCCCTGGAAACTATTGCATTGTCCATCTGTGCTACTTGCAGCACATTTCTGTATTTGGTTGTAATGTGTGTATTTGCAGCGCATGTGTTGTCAAATGGATGGTTTTCTAAATTAGCATTAGCATTAGCATTCTCTTTGCATGTTTTCTTAACGTGCAGTGTGTTGAGCTCTCAGGACTACTGTAACTTATTCACTCCGTAGTTTTTGTTCATAATAGAAATGATCTGTAATCACACTGCTTATTGAAGAAAGTTGACCAACATTTGCCAAACTCAAAAAAAATCCAAAGGTTCCCTCGCAAAAAAGTGCACAGATAGGGGTTAGTTGGACATCTCTACATTTATTACCTTTTTTCTCAAATGACAGGACCAAGAAAATATACATCTTTTTAATCAAGGTCAAATCAACATGAATTCAGAATATTTAGTTTCTTAAATGTCCAACAATTGCTTGAATGTAATTAACAGTTTAAGAAAATGGGAAACAACTTCAAAACGTCTTTCAGACAAAAAGAAAAAGAAAAAATTAAAAGACAAGCATCTAAACTGTCTTTTGTGCAATTTGACATTACAAAATAATGTTTAATTAAATCCAACTTCAGTCAGACTTTCAATTTGCTCCACTTCAACACAGCTGGCTGCTGAAGCTGTGCCCTAATGCTACTTACGGGACAGTGACCGATCCTCTAAAGGAGACCAAACATATACATTTATATTACAAAGCCAGATTTGCAAGCAACACAAATGCAGACAAACTAATGTAAACATAATCAGATGTGAGTTTGTTCAAGGCGATATGATTGTGGCATGAATTGAGACGAATGTGTGTCGTCTCAAAGTGAAATCAACTGGAGTGATATGAACTATAAGCCTCCTTCATGATTGTACAGAAGGTGAGGAGAGAGATGAGCCCGGAGGTCAAATTAGAGTCTGGTCTGAGGTACAAACATACACAGCTGGACAGACAATGACTGTACAGTCACATTCACTGGCATTTCAAGGATTACACAGACTGCAAATACATTCCAATGGTCAAATTCTTGCGAGGTGACAATTTGTGTCATGTTCAGTGTGAATGCACGTTAATAATCCTTGCTTAACGTGGCAAATTATTGCACAAGCATTACAATTAACAATTATTGCCATCTTTAACAACAGAAGAGAACAGCAATGTAATGAAAGAGACAGCAATATAAATTATCTAAATTACAAAAACAATTTAAACTATTTTCATTTTTACAGTTAAATAACTAATAATTACAATTCAATACCTCAATACTTTAACTATTTACTATAAGTTCCAAAATAATACTGTAACAGCTGTCAAATATTACAATCAAAATTATCAAAACTTTTGCAATGATTTTTTAAATAAAAATTAAAATTTTTTAAATGATATCACAAGAGATTTTAACATATCTGCTGACAATATTGTGATGAGCCAATTAGAAAACATATCAGTGTGATGGCTCTTATATGCAGATGTTGGCACTAAAGCCCATGACCAATCTCACATTACTCGATCTCACATATCATGTGATATCACCTGCTCAATAAAAAAAAACTAAGGATTATTAGTTTAAATAACCAAGAGAAAATAAAGCTGTTTTTCTCACACATACACTCTTAGCATCAACCTTGATTTAAAAAATTATTATAATGAGACTTCTGACATCGTCGTCATTCATGTCTCCACTTTTCTCTTTACTCTGTCAGGAGCACAGTGGCTTCCCAGTATTGTCTTGACTGTGAGGTTGCCAGGCAATCATTGGAGACGTGACCCCCGTTTTTTTTTTTTTACCATTTAAAGAGATGGGCTGCTTTCAGTTTTTATGCTAAGCTAATCGCCTCCTGGCTCCAGTTCCATACTTCACACACTGACATGACAGTGATATTGATCCTCTTATCTACTTCCTGGCAAGAAAGCAATTAAGTATTATCTAAAATGTTGAACTATTCCTTTGAGCATTTCTAAAATTACAATAAAAAAAAGACATTATCCCCTGATAGATAAAAAAAAATGGGGCTGCAACTCCATATTTGCATTTGTTTTAGAAATCCACTGTGTCAAAGAAAGGAAAATATTCTCACATTACAAGACTAAATATCTCTCATTATAAAAATCTATACAATTCTCAGTGGAACACAGTGGCATTTATGCTCCTCTCTCATTCAATTTTATGTACATTTTTTACATGCTTTTTCAGGTGGCCTGACTGTGTGAAGTGCTTGGGGCAGTGTGGGCAGGAATGTGGTTTCTCTCCTGTGTGGATATACTTATGCCTTTTCAGGTTATTTAAATCTAAAAATCCTTTTCCACAGAATGGGCACCAGTGTCTCTTCTCCCCGTTATGCCACCTCAAATGCACATTCAGTTCTACTCTCCTTGTGAATTTTTTGTCACAGAGGTTGCAGTGGAATGGTTTCTCCCCTGTGTGGATCCGTATGTGGGCTTCCACATCTCGCTTTGTGAAGAATCCTTTGTTGCAGATCTGGCAGACAAAAGGTTTAATCCTACTGTGCACCATCTGTAGGTGTTTGGTGAGGCCAAAACGATACACAAAGCCCTTGCCGCACTGCTGGCAGGTATGGATCCTACCATTGCGGTGCACCCGGCCATGCCGTTTAAGACCCTTGGAGTCTGGGAAGCTCTTCCCACAGAGTGTGCATGAAAAAGGTCGACGTCCTGTATGAAGACTTACATGGCTCTCAAGGGCAGCACTGCTACTGAGGACACGGCCGCACTCCCCACACTGATTTTTTAGCAGACGCCCACCAATGACTGACAAGGGCTGTAGTGGTGATATAATAGGTGGTGCTTTGACAGGTATGGGGTGGAGAGAAATACTGGGGGGGTAAACTACCGTAAGATTCTGGGATTTTGGGGATCTTTTCTCTTTCTTTACTGATAACAGTGATGACCTCTTTCCACCTGCTGATGGTGTTTTACTGGCTGGAATCCTGGGAGGAATCCACACAGCTTTAGTTGTATATTTTCTTACAGCCTCACAGCTAGCCTTGTTCTCTGCTAACTGGCTTGTTTTAGCTCGATTCTGCAGTTTGGACTGATTGGAATTTTTCATTTTAGCTATGGTTTTGGCTTTTGCCGCTTTAGCTAACTTCTTAGCATTCAAAACTCTTGCATTCCTTTTAGGAGCAGTACCATCTTGAATTAATCTGGGTTTTTTAGAAGGAGTAGATTCCCTTGTCTTTCTAGAACTGACACCATCTTTAACCAGTTTAGGCCACCTAACACTTGGCGAACAGGTTTCACTCTTTGTTGTAGCTATAGCAGTACCTGTGGTTCTCCTCCTAGGACTGAAAGAACTGGATTCCCTTTTAATCTGTTTAGTGCTAGAACTGTCTTGAGTGAAAGTAGACTTTCTATGGATGACAGAAATCAATTCAGACATTTTAGGGCTTGTACCATTTTCACTCAAACTTGATGTCCCAGGACTAACAGCAGAGGATTCAGTCTTTTTAAGACTAGCACCTTCTCTAGTCAAACCAGTCCTCTTAGGGCTCACAGAAGTGGATTTTGCATTTTTAGGGCTAGTGCCATTTTTAGTATTTTTGGGGCTTGCATCATCTTTTGATGAACTAGACCCTCGAGGACTAACAGAAGTGGGTTTAGTATTTTTAGAGCCTACACCATCTCTCCCTGAACTAAACCTCCTTGGTGTGGATTCACTAGTAGTCTTTGACTTAGTTGGTTCGCTAACACTCCTCTTGGGTCTAAAAGCATCTTTACAGGGTCCAGTTCTCCTTGGACTACTGGGAATGGGGTTATTAGTAGCCTTATTGAGAGATGTAACATCTTCAACCACACCTGGCCTTTTAAGGCTATTGGGAATACATTCACTGGTTGTGTTTTTATCATTTGGACTATCATCCTCTAATCTAAGTTTCTTAGGGCTTACAGTGGTGGCTTCTGTTTCTGTGCGAAGTTCTGAATTTGTTTTAGTTCCTCTAGTTTGCAAGTGAGTTTTGAGGTGACTTCGGAGTCGGGCCACAAGGGAGTTTTTCTGTAAGTGAGTATTGCCACTGGTGGAGGTTTCTGCACTAGAAGCTCTGGCATCCGTACAGTCATTAGTGGAGGCCTACAAAAAAGGCAAAAAGAAAAATACATTTAGCAAAAAGTATATGACAGAGCAACCATAATATTTTTTGCAGGAGTTCCAGTAAAAAAATAATAATACTTATTCACATGATGATCATCAATGCTATTTACAAAATTAATGCTGCCAGTATGATCTACAAATTTTAATATTGCATATTCCTAAATCTCTCGGTCAGTTTACTACATAATGTTTCATATTTACAACTTACAAAAAAAATGATTTTTTCCTGAAATGCCAATAAACAGCTTTGCTGCTGGGGTATACATTCCTGTCACAAAGTTGAGTATTCATTTTCTATTAATTGCTTCAGTCATTTATCAAGCTAAAATAGTGAAAAAGACACGCACGCACGCACGCACAAAATATCAGCCCCGCTGCTGCGGCTGGTAAAAATAATTATTTGCTGCAGCCCCATTCTTCATTATGCCCACTACAGGCTGGCTGAATGCGTGGTAACCAGTGCAAATATTATTTTATCACAGTGTTAATAATATTCCTAATCAAACTGGGGACTGCTACTATTACATTACCTTTTCTGGGGCTTGAACTATAGGTAACACTGCCAGCTGTGCCAGGAACTGGGTTTTAGTAATCCGTATATCAGATTCAGATGTGTCCTTGGATGTGATAGAGGTTAGCTGTACGAGGGCAGCTGATTGACTGTCTTCTGTGAGGGGGTCATTAGGTAGTGCACAGTCTTGAACTGCATTACTGATAATTTCCTCCACAAAATTAGAAGCTGAAGGTTCAGTCATGCCGATGGCTGCTGCTGCTGACTTCTCCAAGACCGGTGCTGTCACCTTGGGTGGTGTAGATGGGTGCACATACCTGCTGACATATGACTCTCCCAAAATGGTGCACGTTTCAGAGGATGACAATGCCATTTCTTGAATATCATTTTGCTCTTCTGATATCTGAGAGGTGTTTACAGATACAGAAGTTTTCTTTAAACTGGGACAAATGTCTGTGAATACCATTGGCATCTCTGATGGCTGTGTTGATAAGACTACAGATGATAGTTTCTCTTGTGTGGTACTCTCATTCAGAAGAGACTGAGTTTCAGAGCAACTATTTGGAAGCACTCTTGAGACCAGCACTGATTCTTTGATTGAAACTGAAAATGGCAGCTTGGTTAATCTGACCATTGGTGAGAGCTTCTGTTCCAGTGGAGACACATAAGCTGGCACTAGCCCAGTTGGAACGGACATTTTTAAACTGGAACAAGTTTGTTTAGGAGATTCCATGTGGTCAGTTGTATTAACCCTATTTTGAGACGATATCATAACCACTCCATTTGAAGTGGTTCGTGCATCCACAGACACCGTTAACTCCTGCGACGAAGACATTAACTGTGACGATGATACTGTCACAGAAGCCGCTGGTCCTGCTGATCCCTTCTCCCTTGTAAGAACAACTGTCTGTGACTGATGTGTCCTTGAGGCCACAGCTGGCACATATCTCGGAACTGTAATTGTCATTTTTGGTTGTGGTAGAATCCCTGACTTCTGGTCTGTTGAGGTGCTGGTCGATTGTGACAGGACAACAGGAAACAACTTTCTGGAGGTAACATTTTTTTTTTCTTGAGGGACAGGGGAAAAGGAAGGTTTTCCAAGAGGTAAGCTTGCAGCTGGAGAAGGTGGAAGTAAACTAGTATTCTGTGCAGCCACAACTGTTGACACAAAAGTAGGAAGCTTGGTTGCAGAAAGGCATGTAATTTTATGATGTATTAATGAGGGTACTGATCTTGGCACAATAATTATTTTATGAGGTGCGGCTTTACTCTGTTCACTTGGTGCTGCAGATGTTTTGAGAGGATGGGGAAGGAGCTGCTGTGACTGCGCATTTGTTTGAGTTGCAGCAGTTGATGATGACATTGGCAGTGAAACAGTATTGAAAGGAAGAGTGACCACATGTTGTTGAGGTATGACAGCCTTAATGTGGGTTCGAGCTTCATTGGTTGGAGTGGAATTTGTAACCCGAGGACTGGCACTAAGTGTATTTGTCAATTGTGCTGCAGTCTCTGTTATGTGTTGACTGCCTGCAGCTTCAAAAGTTTGAATGAGAAGCGGTGGTGTCTGTGGCTCAGCTGGGACCTCATCCACAGTTTGTAAGGTACACACACTGGGAGCTTGCTGGCTTTGGGGTGGTGCTGCCAGTCTCTTTGGAGAGGAGAGTGTATTTTCCTCCGTTGACTGATTCATGGCTTCAACTAGTAGAATTGCATCCTGCAGAGTTACAGAGGTACGGCGTGCTCTAAGCTGAACTAATGGTGCTTGTCGTGACTCCGCTGGTGTAGAGTTTAATGATTCAGTTGCAGATGACACTTCAATGGATGGAGCTTCCGTTTCCATGGCAAGCTGTTGAGATACAGATGGTTTTCCTATTTCAGAGGAACGTCCTCTAGAAAAAGATGCTACTGAAACAGACAAAGATCCAACATTACTCTCACCTACATCTCCTGAAGCAGTGTGCACTCTCTCCTGGACTGATGAAGTGACAATGGATGAAGTGTTTGTAGGCTTAACTGGAAATGCTTGTGGATACTCAGATGCAGTTGTATTCATTGTATCGACTGTAGAAGAGACCTCAACCTCTTCTTCACTTAATAAAGGGGAATTTGCCACATCTTGCTCGGTCCTAATATCAGAAGATAGCGACTCAAGTATTTCTTTCACTGGCTGCTGTGGACATTTTCCTTTCTTTGGTGGCCGTCCTCTTCTGCGGCGTACTGGCTGGGAATTAGACTCAGCTTCTGCTATTCCATTTTTTAGTTCCTGACATGCTACTTCTTTGTTTTGTGGTGTCGACTCTGCTAACTGTTCAGCATATCGTTGAAGAGTAACACCGGTTTGTTCATTTACTGATGTTTCTCCCTCTCTTTGACATTGTTGGGGGACCACTGATGGCTGCTGTTTTTCAAGTGCTTCAACCACTGATTGTTGCTGAGCAGTCATCACTGGTTGTTCTTCAGATGTTACAAGTCCTACCTCTGTCTTGTCTTCCCTGTCATCTTTTATTGCAGTGAATGAGATAACTAATGAATGCTCTGGTCCAGATAATTGGTTCTGGACTCCTTGTAAACCTCTATCCATTCGCAAACAGGGTAGTTCCAGGGCTACTTGGGTCTCCTCATCTTTTTCCAGCATTTCTCCAGTTAAATATTCCTGGTTAATGAGAGGTCCTTCGTTTTCAGTTCCACAAGCAGTGGCCTGTGGTAAATCTGATGGAGATATCATGGAGAATATATGAGACAAAGTAAAATGGTGAGAATTGTGAGTGTTAAAACCTAACTTAATTTTATAGGATTTATTATATTCTTCAAATTATCAAAGTTAAATTGGAAAACTAAAGTAAGTTTTAATTTCTTACCTTCATTAGAGACTACAGTGGGCTCAACTTCCTCCTGCTTCAAGATAGACTGCAAAGAAGAATCATCATAAGATTCCTGTATAGGAGTGAAACATATTTCAATGTCAAGATGACATAAACAAGAGCATAAGTTTGTCTACTACTAAGAATATACTCACACACCTCCTGTTTGACAAGTATAAATGCCATTTGAGAATTTCCCTCCTCATGGGTCCCATAGTTGTCCTGCAAACCATACTCCATCTCCTCATAACTGCATTGTTGCTGTTGGTTTTGCAGTGATGAATTTCTCAGTGGTTGACACTGTTCCACCAGCATGGTGCGAAAAGGAACTAGGTCTGTAAATTAGACAAACACAAAACATGATAACTAGTTATTTTTTAAACTGATATCCTGAATCGCCAAAAAAAAAGTCATAATTCAAGCTGCACACAGTGATTCCCCTATACACATTTTGCAACAGGCCATGCACTGTGACCATCATCCCATAATGTTGTTTGCTCTGACTCCTGGTAAATACATTGAACAGAAACCTGCTAATCTACAAAGAACTAGCTTGCATGATCTTCCCTGCCAGCTCATTACAGAGTTTAAGAATCTATGAAAAAACAAAGCGCGGTGAGATAGTATGAATAATGTACATAACTGCATATTATCATTGGAATCAAAAGATAAATAAATACGTGTGTCATCTGTACATAGGAACTGAGGTTGCCCTATTAATCCTAGGCAGTTTTTTGCTTGATTTTCCCTTCATAATTTCACATGTAAGTGTTGGTATACATGTTCTACGACTTTCTTCCGGAAGCTGAAGAGTTTTCAACCCAGCAAATAACTGTTCGTGAGTGGAAATTGGTGATCGGCAGTGTTGCTGTGGCTTACCCATAGACCTGACTGCCGCTTAATTCTTTGCTCATGCTTTACTCATCTTATTGTACGTAAAGTCTAAATCCGAAAGAATTTACTCATGGGCTGATTGACAGCACCGGGACGGTGCTCGGGCCCTAATAATGATAATAATAAAAAGAAATAGTCAGCATTTTTACCAATAATAAATGCTTATAACTACATTCAAATATATCAAGCTTTAAGCACTGTTAAAACATGATGCAGAGGAGGTACTCGTGAAAACGCACATAGACAAACAGTGCACATGGTTTCCTTAGTGATGCAAAACAAATTAAACATTTTTACCTTTTTCAAAAAAAAAAAAAAAAAAGTTTTGCTTGACTGCAACATCACATTATCTGCCAAGAAGCGCACAATAATGGCAGAAAAAAAGAATGCTATATTTCTACTGTTAACTTTGAAATTATCATTACTGAAGATAAAATAATTAAATGGTCATGACGTTCAACGCTGCTTATGACATAGAAAAAGAGGAACAGTCGTTCACAAAATTCGAATCCCAGGTCACACTGATGAAGACCAGGTCGAATGTGACTCTGATCTATGCAAACAACATGGCCTCTGCCCAGTTTAGTAGAAGTGATATCAGACAACCTCTGGGAAAAGACTAGTGACAAAACTGCCTCCGCCCCCTGCCCTATCATTTATGATAGATGATGCCACCAACAGCTCCACCGAAGAATGTGAGATTGTCTAGTCCTGTGTCATTGATAATGGAGGACTTATCCAATATCCTAATTGGCCATATTGAGGTTGAGCACACCCATGCAGAAGATAAGGGGTGTCTGTGTGTGCGAGTCTGTTGCTCATGTCTGTTTCCATATAATGATAAGGAAAAAATGTACTATAGGTTTATCATAAGAGCGTAATATTTAGAGGTAGGTAAACTTAAAAACAAATAGACAGAGTAATTCATTTATCCAAAGGAAAATTTCAGTGTTACAGCAGTGTTACAAAAATGACAAAAGATACACGTAGCTTAAAACACATGCACAATGATGTTTGAATTACCAAATATATACATGATGAAATATATTTAATATGATAAAAACAGAATTTGAAACTTATGGCAAGATATTGCTTTTAATGCTCTAATTAAATGTAAAATGTACATTGTGCATAGCAAATTGCTGCTATTGCTATTAATATGCAAATTAAATGTTAAGAGTGCATTGTGCATTACAAATTAAATGTAAAAATGTCCAAATAATAAAATATGATAATAATGATAAAAATACTCAATGATATGTGCCCCTGTGCATATATGCACAAGGACCACCTAGCAGATGCCTTGGCCAATGCAGACATAGCTGGCAGAGCAAGGCAGGTGTCATCTCACTGTTTTCAGTTGGACAGTATTTCATTGCTGAAATCACTTCAACTTTGGTGTTGTATGAGGGTTGAGAATGAGAACTACAATGATTTATTTGCAGATCAAAGCCACGATAGAGGACAGGACATTTGTGGCATTCTGCCACTTCCTGTCACTTCCAGCAGCCAGTTCAGCCTGCTGCTCCAGAGAAATTGTGTAACCCCACCTCAGGTAAGGCAGACAGAGATAAAAGGGGGCTAGGGGGTGAAATTCTTTTTGTATCTTCCCCTTAATAATTTCAAACAGTTATGTCTTCCCAGGCTGTTAGTGGCATCGTCAATCTCCTCGCTACCAGACAGACCCAAACCTGATGGTAAGATGTCTGAAGGGGGAACACCAACAGAAAGGAGGAGAAGCTGTGAGACAAGGCTTAAAATATCAGGTACATATTTGTACTGTGTACTTTATATAAAATCTGATGTTTATTTCACGTTAAGGAAATGTACCTATTGTTCTAATTTTGTATGATTTTTAAATTTAAATCTTAAGTTAATTTTTATCATTTCTAAAGGTGGAGCTGCAAAGCCGGCAGAGGGTCAACCAGTCAGCCAGTGTGCCCCCAGACTACAAAGAGCCATTGAACTGGCCTGTGGGTCCACAGTGAAACACCTCAAAAACAGATTTAGCAGCCTACTTGGAGAGTTGTGGTATTTTACCATTATATCATAAGCACACTGATATATTTACAGCGCTGTTGACAGGCCTATGTATTTTCAACTTTTCTATCTCTGTCATTTACTGAAGAGAACATAAAGGATGTACCAACAGTTAAGGCAGTGAGGTATTTCAACCATGACTCTTGGCCATATGACAAGCTAGAAGTCCTGGACCATGGTGTGGAACAGGTGAAGTTTCTCCTAGAGCCGTTTTTCAATGTCCTGGGCAAGTAAGTTTTCATAATTCTGTTGACATTATGACTGAAATTATGTTGTTAAGGAATTTGTTTTCCTTCTCATTCTTCCATTTCATGTCAGGAACGAGTGCAACAGGCAAAAGAGGTGCTCCAAGAGATGAAAATGACAATAAACACATCATTCAAAGATAAAAGCTTTCTTGGACTGTGGGAATTCATGATGACAAAAGAGCCCTGCTGCTCAGACTTTGCGGTAGGCCCTATTGTTTTTAGTACATAAACATGACATGATCATTGTCACTGATGATTTGGTCAGTTGGTTTGACCAGTATACTTGTGGATACTTGAGGCTTCTCATCACAAAACAGAAACAAGCCAGATGTTAGAGCAAGTCTGTGTACTGATATTGTAGCGGACCTCATCAGAATTACTGCTGAGTAGGGTTGGGCTGGTGTAAAAATTTTCAAACATGTTTGATATTAAGGTATAACACTGGACTGGACTAGTGTCGTGAATTTTCCCAGTCTTATGTTCCCAAGTGGAACATGTTCCCAAGTGAACATAAGACTGAAGGACTCCATGAATGAGAGTGTAGTGACTCCAGTCCAATTAGTGGCAGTTATGCACCTCTAATCTGGTTTGCCAACCACCAAAATCTCCTTCATGTTATGGCTCGTTACACACATTAATAAAAGAAAAGATTCCCTCTTTTGTCAGTGCTCGAGGCAGAGAAATTTAATGTTCAGATTACGACTTCACAAATATCAAGTCTCCAGTCACCATCAGTCTTTACATTAATGCAAAACTAGGGTATACAAGTTAAGATAACTATTCATCAGCAGGCAAGGTCTTTGATCTATACCATGCTATACCAAAACAAAAAAAAGGATGAAGAATATTACAAGAGAGTAATGTAGAGCCTATGTATTGAAACACTGGATAAAAAAATTGCAACTTTTACTTTGTCCTTATCATCAGCCCAGGTCAACACACCAGTATTAACACTTGTTTTAATACTTGTGGGAAGTTTAGTTCCTTTCATGATTAAACTATTAACATTTTTTCTTTTGGGTGTGACCAACTGCCTCAGAAAAATGAGTCCAAATGTCATTAAAAATGCATACGTAAGATTTCCCCGTTACTCCCACATATTAAATTGCTTCTTTGGGAGAGGGAAGAATACCACTCATGACAAAATTATTTGTGTAACACATTGCAGGCAAGTCTTTGATACGTGATAAACTGTTTGATATATAAATATCCCAAAATCAGTTTTACTTGAGAAAACCCTCACTTAATGCTATGGAGGGCTGAAATGTAACAATTTGTAACAATTTTTAAGTCTTAACACAAACAAGTAAATTGTATGACCCAGTTTAATTATTATATAACTATTTTTTTGACAAAGCATTCTTGGAAATATTTCACACTCACTTCATTCAGACAATTCATTCAATATAACCTATTTCTACTATACATGCTCTATTCCATGTCATCTTCCATGTTACAGACATAGATCTGAAATTACTGTAGTAAATACAAAGCATATTATCAAAGCAAGCCAAACTGGTAAAAAGGGTACAATGTATTTTCTTCAAGTGATCTTGTTTGGAAATAAACTTGTCAACGGTTTAGTCCTGTAAACAACCATTAGACCACATCCTGACCTCTTCCGCTAGCATAGTATGGTTTCCCTCCTATTTTGGATCCCACGCTTTAGATATGACAAGCCTAGGCTAAGATACTGTTATATCAATTGACAGGAGCTGCTTTATGTATTCCATATAACACGAATACATTCCCAAATATCGTCTAAAAACATAACAGAGTAGCAACAGGCAATAACATTGTTATTTTGTACAATTATTTATACGAGGGATCACAACTCACCACATTGGACAGCTGTGTCACGTTTCTCAGAGCAGTGGTTTGGCCATGGAAAGGGCTCACTTTCTTTCGTGTAAACAGTCGTTTGGCTTTTCCCATTCTCAAACTGGCTGCATCTTGTTTTAAGGTCCTCGTTCTCCTTCTTGATTCTGGATATTTCTGCCTTCAGGTCGTCGACCATAGTTTCGAAAAGTTTGGTGGTCTCTGCGATAGCGCTCTTGAGCATACTCTCCATGACAGAGGCGTACTTGGTCTGAAAATCGTCCGCTGACATTTTTGATATGGTTTACCGTTCGTCCGAGTCACTGAGAGTCCACGTGAGTCCACGTTTGACAGTAGATTTAGTGTAGCGTTATTAAAACCATGGTATTAGGAGCTGGTTCAACATGGCTCCTTCCTATGTTCAGACGCGGTCTCTGCTTTGTGTGACGCACATCGACTGAAAAGGAGGAGGGGGTAGAGCAAAATATCCGGTAAACCTCTTAAATCTTAATGTGTGAGTTTTAGATATATGTTAAGTTGGTAAGAAAACAATAAAGTGGTACTAATGTCAGTGACTAATTACCATCAATACACCATGCACCATTCTCGACTGACAACTCATTCTTTAACAGACACCCATAAAGCTGAAAAGATTAAGATTGTCCCAACTCACGACCCGTATTTTAAATCTCGGAAGTGCTGTTGTTTACGGAATCAGAAGGAAATGCGATAGCTCAACGGAAACCAATTGTAACGTTATATTATAGCTAAACCATTGTCTTTCTTGTGTTTCAAACCCAATCTTGCACTACACATAAAATCTATGCATGTTGAATGTGTCAATTTCATGTTTCCGATAATTACTTATCAGATGGTGTTCGTAATCAAAACTAGTGCAGCAGGCTAGTTAGCTAACGCTGACGTTACAAACGACTCTCCAGTTTGTTTAACATTAGGTTTGGTCTGATGGAAATAGCCACGCGGTAAATTTGGACCAACAAATGTACGTCTACAACCTGTTTAACACTAAGAGCCGAGTTTAAGAAACTGGCACATCCATTGAAGGGAAATTGACATTGGCTGTAGCCAACAAATCTCACCCCACGTCGAAAGTTCCATTCTCTTCAGTTTACTGGAAATAAACAACTGTTCAGTGTTATCACACATTGTAATCATGGCTGAGAGTATAGTGACGTTTCAGTCCCAACTTTCTGGTGTAATGGAGACGGTCTTTAAGGCCGCCATGTATGAGATCACCCGGCTGGTGGAGGATAGCTTTCTGGAAGAGGTAACACGGTGCAGGGAGCAGGTCGAGTCCCTGAAGAGGCGACTGAAGTGGTCTGAGGGTCGGCGCAAGGAAAGAGAGGGAGACAGACGGGGGAGGTGCATTGATTGCGGGAGAGTAGCGGGGTCCGGTGAAGAGAAATCCAGAGCTACAGGTGAGTCTGTCTGGTGTTATTGATCCATATCCTGCAATCACTCATTATGTCTTAAGGGATGACTAAGTGCACACTTGCTTTCTTATGAATGACTTTCGAATTCACTTGATAGTCTAATGTGGCTGAGCACCTTCTGCATGGGAGAAATATTAATATTTAATTATAATTAATATATTGTATATATAATATATCGTCATCAGGAGTTGGGGACAAAAACAACTAAAAGGAGCATGAATACTTAACTTAAATTTGCCATGTGGCCAAAAAAATGACTCCAAATGTAGAAGTCAAGACAGAATTGTGAGATGTATATTTTTCTAGATGTAATTAGCCTTAAAGGATAGGTTCACATTTTGTGTCTTAAAACTACTGTTAAAACTTAATGATAATGTTACTCTGTTTTTGCTGGATTGTAAATATGTTATTGATCAGTAACACATTGGCTATAAAATAAGTAAAACGATTGTGTTCATAGGTATTCCAGCTAGCCAAAAGTAACAAAACAAAAAAAACAAAAAAAATCAGTGCTGCTTTAAATATCTAAAGTGATACTCCACCAAAATCTCTCTGATGATTGGTATAAAACACCCCCCATACAGATGTTATAGCATTCACAAACCAGATGCAAGCAATATATTAAATTACTCATGTTTTGGCATAAATGTGACAGTTTGGAACATACCATACGCCTTTATTAGTCCTTCAAATGCAAAATACATCAGTCACATTTTCCAATTTAATAACATCCTCCTTTTCTGTCACAGAGAAAAGCCTGAAACAAGAGAGTATGCTGCAGGAAGAAATAAGCTCCCATGGAACTGATGTGGAGACACCTGATCATGAAGTGGAAGAGGCGAAACCAGAGGCCCACAGTGCCATAATGGCAACACAGGTAGATGGCAATTTATCACATTAAATGAGCTTCATTGATTTAGGTTACAGTGTGTAAAATATTTAGTAAGCAGGATCAAAGGTCTTGGGGTTGCTGTCTTTTTAACATTATATATGTAAATTTCTTCTTTTAATGATCAAATGTTGATCAATTGCCAAGCTTATCGTTTCTCTTGAGGTGTGTAGAGTTAAACACCCTGTATTAATGCTGTCATTCTCCTTGTCTGCCAGTCTCCAGGTGTACAAGGTGAAAAGTTGGATAGGCTGCTCAAGGAGGAAGCCCTTCACATCACACCAGAAACCAATGAGTCCCAAGGGAGATGGGGAGTCAATTTGGATGGTCAGTCTAAAAAGCTGTTTTTCAAAGGAAATTTTAATTAGCTTATCAGTGAAATTATTTTAATAGCTTTTTAATTTCAGTCACATATAAGTGTTGTGGGTCTTACTCTGCATTATGTTTTATAGTGGACAGTTACCACACTTCATAGGATAGTCTTGCTACACATTAAAGCAAGACACCACAAATGACACCAACAGTACTTCTCTGCTATTGTACAGAAACACGGCATTAACCAGGGAAAAGTAAAGAACAAAAAAAGGCAAAATATGCACACTAACATTACAAAAATTTGATTAAGTTCCTCCTACATAAAAACAACCAAAATGACATTCTTTCAGAAAAATATTGTGATAATCAAAATAGCCATGTGTAAATACACACACTTGCATTTCAAGAGTCAAAGCATTCACACGGTCCCTCTTGTATAAATACTCTCTGTGTCTGTGTAATATTGCAAGCAAAGTCACAATATACTCCACTCAAACCAACACGGTCTTAATAGTACACTCTAGCATTACAAGTTACACGGCAGTCCTGCCACACATATGCCCTGAAAGATTTATTTTCTAATTAGCAGACTTATAAAACGAAAATGGAGATAATGTTTAGTTCCAAAATGTAAAATTATCAGTACTTTCACCTAATACTGGTTTAAAGTAACTTCATGTCAAACATATAGCAAAAGCACAGAATGTGAATAGAGCCAATCAAATGCATGTCTTCGGAGAGAGAAGTCCAGAGTGAAAAGAAGAAGAAAGATTAGCAGAACTGCAACTTTTTTGCACACTTTAAAGGAAAGTTGACAAATTCTACATGCCCATAATTCCTTTCTCTTCCTTTCATTGGTCAGAAACAGACACATCAGGTCTGCCGGGGACCAGTAAACGTGACCAAAAGATCCCAAAGTGCCATGTGAACTGGGAAACTGGCTTTGACCAGAGGCCGGAATCAGGCCATCATGGACACTCAGGTGACCCATCTGAACCACTTTTCCAGAACAGATATGGCATGGAAGACTTGAGTGGCTTTGACAAGACTGGCTATGGCGATGCCAGCATGATAGAAATGGATAACTTAGATGGGTTACAAGGATCACCATCCCACCTGGGTGAGGATCTGAGTTACATAGGCCACTATGAGGGGAACATGGAAGCACCTGAAGGATCTGAGCATCAAGCATACCAAGCAGATGCCAGAGGGAATAGAAGAGGCCTGGTCAGTCCTCCTGCAGGCTCACCCTCGAGGACTAACATTGATGTAAGTGGAGAGTTCAGCTGTTTATTGATTAATGAGGAAGGGTATCTACAGGACCCGAGTATCCTGTACCCTGGACATGTGTCTGGTGATTCAGGTGGCAGATTGAGCTTCAGGGGCCAGGGCACTCGAATTGACCCTTCTTTAGACAGCACAGAGGATATATATAGTGCCTCAGATACATACAGTGACACCTTAAACTTGGGAGAGAGGTTGCAGCATCAGGCAGCAGGAAGAGGAGGGAGGAGACACACTTGTAACCAGTGCTCCATGTCCTTCCCTGATTCTGCCTCTCTCAAGGCTCACAAACAGACGCATAAAGGCACCGGACAAGGGCCACCATACTCCTGCACCCAGTGTGGAAAGACTTTCACTCAAGCCTGTAACCTCAAAGTCCACCAGAGGATTCACTCTGGGCAGGGGCTTCACCTCTGCAGCCATTGCGGAAAAGGTTTCCCTTCTTTCTCTGAGCTAAAGACACATAAATGTGGCCAAACAGGTGACAAACCGTACTGCTGCACTGTCTGTGGGAACAAGTTCAGCCGCCTCTGGAATCTGAAGTTGCACCGGAGAATTCACACACAGGAAAAACCTCATCGCTGCACCATGTGTGATAAGAGCTTCACACGAGCGGACATACTGAAGGTTCACCAGCGTACCCACACAGGGGAAAGACCATACTGCTGCGCTGTCTGCGGCCTCAGCTTCAAACGCCTGGATCATCTGAAATCACATCAGCGCAAACACATGACAGACCTATAAAACTAGGGAAGTTTGGGGAAAGATCATCAGATAATTTAAGATTCTTTGTGGTATTAGGAGGTTTAAAAATTAATGTTTTTGTTTGTAACTCAGGGTTGTTTTTCATCAACATCGCAACAACCCAGTCATATTTCTGGTCAGATCAGTTTTTTTCTTTTCCATGTCCTCTGGGTTTCATTCAAGAACTTTTTTGTTGGAATGAAAAATGTAGGACAAAAAAAACATCAAATATATATAAATATATTTTGTTACTGAAAAAAATTACTCGCCTTAAATAAATTGGCCAAAAAGGCTGAGTACGTCATCCTTGTGATTACATTACAAATTCACAATTAAACTAAAAATGCATTACTGCTGGATTTTTTTCTTTCATTGTTTTCTCATTATCGTATTTAGTTTACCATGTCTGTAAATGCTTTCTGTAAATAAAACAAATGAGGCCAAATTAATGAGTTTTAATTTCTAGCACATTGTTCTAACTGTGTTTTTATTTTTTAAATGACCTTAGCAGAGAACACTTAATTGTTTCTCTTGCAATTAACTTTGTTAGAAATTTTTATTTTGGTCATTAAACCAATTAGACAGACAGAATTTTCTTTTGTCACTGTAAGATATAGAAAATGTCACCCACAGTGTCTACATGCCCATATAGTGCTGAGATGTGGTTTAATTTGAAACAATAATTAATGTCTACCATGAATAGACAGTGAGATTTAGAGACTAAAAGGAACATTTCTGTGGTTTGAAAATACTGTTATCAATAAACATTTGGAATAACAAACATAATTCAACAAACAACAGCCATTAAAGTAACATATGTGAGTGTGTGTGTTGTTGATTCACAGTGAAAGGATCCTGGGTTTGAACCTCTGTAGAACCAGCTGGGGTCTATCTGTGTTGAGTTTGAATGTTCCACCCACAGTTTTATGAAGTTTTTTTGTGGGTTGTTCTGGATTCCTACAAAATATGTAAAATGTATTTTCATATTAGGGTTATGGCCTCATAACCTCGGTTTGTCCCCTGACACTGAGCTGTGACTGTACACTGCTCCTAAATACAGTTTGCAAAGGTCAAAACCCTATTTGTGCAATTTGGCCAACTAGACTGGATAAAAAAAAATATTGTCACAGGAAGTTAATTTCCTCATTTAGTTTTTGTATCAAACATTGGCTACTACCCCTAACAAACAACTCAACTGGTAATCTAAATGCATCTGATAAATTTCCCCAAGCACGGTAATAAAGTATAGCCTAAGTTAACATATTGGGTAACATCAAGAAAAAAGGTGGCAGTTTTGATGTAGAAAGTATCACATACTTTTAGTATAAAAACCTCAGAGGAAATGATGAAGAATAATATTTCATTTCTATGTCATCATAGGCATGGATTAAAAAATATATCACTTTTTTTCCTCCTTTCAATAATTTTCATTGTAGGACATATTGGTCGTATGGGACCATAATGCGTTGCAAAATAGCTAAAATATTTCCCTGTGACGAAATGACCTACAATGTGCTTGGCGCAGCCTTTGGGTTTCACTTTATTGAAACGCGTTTTGTTATTCTCGCACTTCAGGTAAGGCCACCGTACTGCGTCGTGTATGACGTCACGAGCAAAAACAAGGACCACAAGCGATTGTTGAACAGCTAGCTAGCTCGGTTAAATGATAAGTACCACATGAATTTGCTTTGCCTAGCAGTCCTTACTTGTGGAGACCACACACCCACGCTGAAATAGATCGACGCGTTAGGTTCGACTAGTTGTGTACGACTTGTTGACGGTTTGATGCCGTTAACGGTAGATCGCATACGAATTCTACCGTTAAGCTCAAGCTAAGGAGTTACATTATATGGCTGGCTGACAGTTGGAGTTTACATGAAGGTAATTCATGTCAGTAAACATAAGGCGAGGTTCCATTAGGTCAACAATTATAATTTTATGAATATCTGTTTCTTGCTCATTACATGAAATACCCACAACAACAACATGTATACTCTGATAGAGACTGCTCTGCAATAATGGCGTACAACCTAAACAACATGTGGTAGAATTTCCCAAGAAGAAAACTTTCTCTCTCTCTCTTTTATTGTCGTACTCAAACACGCGGAATTCCGTTGTGTAACAGTCATCGGACACGGGACACTTGCAGAGTCTGTCATGTCGGACCTGGATACTCTCATAGTCACCTTTCAGACCCAGCTCTCGGATGTGATGGAGACTGTGGTAAAGACAGCCATGTATGAGGTTACTAGGCTGGTGGAGGACGGCTTGTTGGAGGAGGTGAAGCGCAGGAGCCAGGAGGCGGAGTCTCTGAGGATGCAGCTGCTGTGGGCTGAAAAGAAATTAAATGACCAAGGGGGGAAAGAAGGAGGGAAGACTGGAAGGTGTGTTGACTGTACTAAGAAGGATGCGGAACTGTCCGCCGACGCTGCCGAAGAAAGTTCTAAAGACCAGCACAACAGTAAGAACAAACACACACCAGATGAGTGTTGAAATAGCTCAGAGGATGTCTTATGTTATTACAGTACAGTGTTTCTTTTTCTTTTCGTAGATGTGTTGAGGAGCTGTGGTGTGAAGAAAGAGAGCAGTCCTGTTGGAAGATGGACAAGAAGCCCCAGACAAGAAGTCATATCAGAGTTACCACAGGAGGCAGATGATCCTACAGCCACCCACAGCCCTGAGAGGGAATCACAGGTGGGTCACATCACTTGACTATGTTAGAACAGGAGTATGAATTAATGCTTTCACATATTCAAGAATGTGATGCCATATTAAAAGATGCACAGATCACCTTTGTAGTAAAAGAGATTGATGATATCAGCTTTGAAAACTAATTGGACTAAAACTACTATATATCCTCAGTATTCTATGATATGCTCCATGCCCTGTTCAGGCCACAGAAGAAGAGGATGCGATGGAGGAGAAGGATGAGGTTAATAGGCTGCCTTGTTCATCCTCGCATTTGGGAGAGTGGAGCATTACTCTTGATGGTGAGTGTTGTGAAGCATGTATATATGTGTGTGTGTGTTTGTGTGTGTACTGAGTGGGACTTTTTACATTATCCGTTAAACAGTATAAATATCCTGGGACATCAGAACCGTGGGGGTTAACAGACTGTGCCCCAGACTAACCTCACTGCTTGTCGACATGTTGCTATTTTTCAATAAAAAGCGGTAGACAAGCTGTCCGCTATGCTGAGGACTGAGATAGGTGTAGACCTGTTCATTTTATTTTGAGGTTTGAAAAATGCGACTGCAAGTTTCCATTTTATTAACCTGTTGGCTGTCTCTGATCATTTATCAGCTGAGAGTGGAGGAGGAGGAGGAGGTTTTCGTTACAGTTCTCCTGGCACTTGAGGATTCAATGTGTGTTGTCGTTTTGTTAATCTGTGTATACATTAGAAAGTTTGGGTACTATTTGCTATTTATTTTAATAAGTTATGTTTTCCTACAAGGGAGAGGCTATTATGCTGGTTATACACAGAGTGCTCAGCGCCAGAGGATAAAATATGTGTTTTCATTTTATTATTCTCTTTGTTCATTAGAAAGTCTGGTTGCTATTTGTTATTGAAACATTTATGTGGGTTAAATATTCTTCATGTAGGCCTGTTGGTCAATTCTGCTTTACTGTGTTCACAGCAGCTCTGCAGGTGTGGTGATTTTAATGGGTTACAGACACTCTCTATTCTAAATCGTACATTTTATTCTTGTCATTTAATGGTCGGTCATCAAACATCAACTGTTGGTCAGAAAAAGAAAATTCAAAATGAGCATCTCTAACACATATATGACATACAGTATCTGCAGTGAGCCAATGTCAGCTGATAAATTGGCCAGTCCAAGTGGTCGGTCTAGCTCTATTACATATAGATTGTGCACATGGAGAATGTATCTTCCAGCGCTATATATTGAACAAAGTTTGAATATAGAAAAATCACTTGATATGTTGGAGGTGGGTTAGTAGTGTATTGGACCTCCATTGAATGTCAGTTTCTTACGATAGTGACTACTTACCTGCAGTCTATCTATTTAGCTGTATATCTGTCTCTGCATCTGTGGTGAAGGGACATGAAGCATAATAAGTTCCACTTTTGATACAACTACTACCACTAATAATAATAATATAATAATTATATTGGGACCTAGAAAAAGTGTAAAGGAAACTGTACTATATACCAATTTCATAAATATATCAGAACAAAAACAAAACATTAAAAGAAAACAAAAGGAAAAAAACAACAAGCAAAAATCCAATTCAAACCAGGATTAATGAGATTTAATGAGCTTTGAATTTAAAACTTCCTTCAGTTAGCCCTTCATTTTGCCTTAAGGTAACATAGAAATAATATACAATAATGAAAAGCACATTTTTTCACTTTGTATCTATTTACTACAATCCAGCCTCGTAGCATAGATATAATATTTTCAGTTCAAAAAGAACTAAACCAGATTTACCCCTATTGTAACTATTTTCTCAGTAATTCCTAAAAAATTGAACTGATGTGCAATTTTTCATTTCATACCTCATATACATAAGTCCCATTGTGCCTATTGTCGTCTGCATGTGGAAATATTTTCACTTTTCTCCCTGTAGCCAGTAAACCTTAGAATGCATTTGCCTCTGTGGCTTGTCGGTGGAAAGGTTAATATCTTCTCATGCGGTTAGTTTCTCAAATTTATGTATGTGTATTTACACCAATACACTTACACGTAGTTGTAATATACACAGTTAGCTTGTCAATCCTCTTACACAGGAAGGCTTATTTAGTTCAAAAACTACTTCAGTGCATGTAATACTATGTGTTCAGATGTTTATGACAGCAACCAACTTTCTTTTTTGGCAACAGTCTACCTAGTGAAAAAGGCTGTTGAAATCATTAGTATAACCCCCGTTTCCACTCATTTTCTAGGTGAAGCATGTCGTGAATCACACAGCGCTGCTGAGCTGACGGAGACACAACCAAAACAGACTCACGAAAACGGTGAGGAATTACTGAGGAATATCATCAAGCAAGGCCCACTGATGTCTGCTGCATATGCCCTTCCCGAAGAACAGGAAGAAACACACATGTCTACAGATCCATGTCATGTCTCATCTTTGGAAATGGACGCTGGTTGGGCTGGACTTTTGCAGAATCACAGACTTGGGACTGTGAAGGATCACGATCCGGCCAAAACTAGAGGTTCTCTTAAGTGTACAGAACATGAGCTGTCCGACTCTGTCGCAGCGGATGTTCACACTCAGGGCAGAGATCAGATTTCAACCTCAGGATCCCCTAAGACGAGACTGCAAAACAGCGAGGCGTTGGGTGTGACAATAAAGCAGGAGGTTATTGTTGATTCTGATGGGTGTGAGGAAATTGAGCATATGGAAAAAAAAGAAATGACAAAGTCTGGGATGACATCTTTCTCATGCTCAGTAAAACAGCACAGGCTGAGTTCAGAAGCACGCAAACAGAACCACATTTCCCATAAAGCCACAGTGCAGGAGATTATGAAGCTGCATTCCAAAGTGGGTACAGGTCTCAGATTGCAAGCCGCTATACAGCACCTCCATAGACCGATGAAAAAAAACCCTCACGCCCTCTCGAACAGCACCACGGCAGCACTGTCTATAGCTCATACTCAGGTTGTGAACTTAAATCCCCTCAGCAGAATTCCCTCCACATCCAAAGCCGCTCCACCTCCTCCACTCTCAGTACAGCGAGTTCACCTGGGTGACAAACAAGCTGCAGCACTTAACCGAACTGGTGCCCCGTGGGTCAGCATCAGATCCCAACATCAGTCTGCAAACTCCCATCATGCCAACCCCGTACCCCATTCCGACTCTCACGCTGGTCCCAGGCACCTCCTGCGTTGTGGCCAGTGCGGGAAGTGCTTTCCCCACCCCAGCAACCTGAAGGCTCACCTGCAGACTCACACAGGTGAGCGGCCTTTCTGCTGCTCCCTCTGTGGTCGCAGCTTCACTAAACTGAGCAACCTCAAAGCCCACCGCCGGGTCCACACCGGAGAGAGACCGTATTGCTGCTTGGCTTGTGGCAAACGCTTCACCCAGAAATGTAACCTGAAACGTCACCAGAGGATCCATCTGGATGTATGATGATGGACAGCGGGTGACAAAAAAAGACACATTTGGTCTATTTATTTCTTTTAGATTAAGATACTACAGTGTTTCTTTTTGCAACGCCATACAGACGCTGTAATGCATTGCAAAAAGGCTTCGTGTGTACTCGTCTCTTGAAGTGATTGTCCCACGTTCTTCTGTGCATTCCAGAAAGGTTCATCTAGTAACTTCTGAAGGTGTTTTAATGTTATTAAAGGACAACAAGCATTGTGTTGTGAAATGTATCATGCGCAAAAAGATAGGTCAATTGTCCATTGGTCAATAAAATACTATTTATTGTGTGAACACTAATATTCTTTCATTTTATCAGTTACGTCATGCCTGTGAGGACAAAAGCACTTACTAATCATGCATCAAGCCCTGTGTTTTGGACGTATGTGAAAAAAATTAAATAAGCTATTAAACAGATTCAGCATCATGAACAAAACTTCTCTTAAGTTGGTTAAGAATTGATCGCACATGTCTAAAATGCAGGCCAGAGGTGAGCACACACCGTCTGAGAGATATTCATTATTGGTCATGATGAATAATGGAAACATTATAATTCAGATTTAGTTTTAGTTTTTCTGTTTGTATGTGTTTTTAACTTTTTGTTCTCTTTTGGTTGTCTTTTTGTTGTATAACTGACAATTTTTATATTATTTTATTCCTATTTATGTATTTATAAATATATGAAATTGTTTTTAATTACACATGATAATAGCTGTTGGAGGCACAGAGGATTAAAAAAACACCTGAAATAAACTTTAAAATGCTGTTTTATTCCTTTTTTTTCAAATAGATTTTGTAATATAGGCAAATTATTCAATAAGCAAATCACATGAAAAGAAACGATTGTTGATTCCTGCCCTTAGCATTCATATGATTATTCTTGTGAACTCTTACACTTCACTGCAAGTAGGAGTCCATAGCTTGATCACTGTCTCTTGTTCTTCACACTCAGCAAAGAGCTGTTTTACTCTTAAACTGGCTCTTTGGAGTTCTCTTTATTATAATTCTCAAAAGTTGCAGGTCATATGTCTAGCAATTTAGCAAAGGTTAGAAAACATGATTGTGATTTCAGTTTTTTTTTTCATGTTTTTGCACAATTGATGGTCTTGTTATAACTTGAGCATGATTTGTTTCTTCAAAGACTTATAAGATCCTGAAAATGTCGCCAATCACTTTGAACAATTGAAAGTACTTAGATTATGTATCATCAGTGAAGACTTAATTTGTCCTCTGATTAAAATAATATTAAAATACAGCTATTAAGCAAAGAAAAAAAAAAACCCTTTATCAAATTTTACAACAATATTGTAGTATCTTAACTGAGCAGTTGGTGTCAGCCTTCCACCTAACTTTGTGCAAAGATCTGGACCTCAGCAGAGATTTAAAGATGATTTGTAGTCTTCTCGTCAGGCTGCTAATGTATTAATGGAATAGAAGAGTACTTTTAAAGACAACCACTCCATTAGAGTAACAGTTCCAATTTTACAGTGTCTGTACACACTGTTTTAGTCGATCTGTGTGCCTGAGCCTGTGTGTGTTACATAACTCACCTCCGGGATTAAGCCTGATGTGTTGTAGTTATAGTTAGAGTCAGAGCTCTTATTCTCAAGGTATCAGAGAAAAAGCTATCTCTTGCTCTCTTTCTCTCGCTCTCTTTCTCTCTCTCTCTCTCTCTCTCTGTCTCTCTCTTTCTCTCTCTCTATGTCTGAATCTGAAGATGTTTAATTGCTTAAAAAAGCTACCCACAAAGCACTTTTATTTCCCATTCCCTCTCTCTTTAGCCTTCTCATTTGGCCGCATTTTCTGTCCTACGTACAGACACTCTGTTGCCCTCCAGAGAACAGTAAATCACCCGGAGATGGCAATATTGTGTTGAACAAGACTGTGTTTCTGTGAGAAGGGTAGGTCTGCTTGGCTTTTCTTTTGGCCATATCTAAAAGCTGCTTCGCATTGAGCTGCAGTTAAATTGGATATGTTAAAAAAAAAAAAAAAGACTACATACTGGAAAATGTTACACACAGAAACAGACTTAATGGGTCTGGTCAGGGAACATAGATATTGTTACAGGCTCATACAAATTGGCAACTCTTATTAAACTATCCCTAAGCAAGATACTGAACCTCTGCCTCCTTCCTTAGTGCCGTGCTGCACATTACATCAACTACGAGGCTGTAAGAAAATGACTGGGATGGGGAGGGGTGCAGAATGTAATATGTTGTTTTATAACAAAGCAAGACCTTATATGAATTTACAGTATATATGGCAAACATGACAAAATGGCAAGAAGAAGAAGAAGAAGAAGAAGAAGTTGAAGTGACAAAAAGGAAGTCAGGTGACCAGAATAGAATGAAGTTCTAAAAGTTTGCTTATGGAGGAGGTTGAGGTGGATGGATGGGTCAACAAATGGGTCTGTTTGTTTCCCAACTATGAGTCAAATATATATATATATATATATATATATATATATACTGTATATAAGGTAAAGGTTTTGAAAGGCACTGACATCATTCTGCTGATAGGGGCATCAGATGAGAAAATGCTTCTGTCTGACATTCTGGAGGGCATCTACAAACAGAGTATTTTGTCATTTAATTGGGAAGACTTATGGGAGATTCCACTCACTCTTTCTTTCAGCTGCTAAATAAACAGTCGTGACAGCCATCAAATGAGTGAGCCAGGGACAGGCAACAGCTCCGGGTTGAAGGCCTCGTGCGCTGCAGTATTTTTATCCCAGCCTGTATCCTCTGCATGTGGCAAAAACGCAGCCCCATGATGCACCTGAAAAAAAACATCTTTCTGATATAACTATGCAATCTCATTGTGCTACATAAAAATCTCACAGATATAAGTTTTGTAATAACCAAAAAAGTAAATGATCTTCATGTGTTCTCTTCTCAAAAAAAGTACTACAATCTTTTCCTTTACCATCCATTTTTCTTCCAACCCCTCCTCCCCAAATAATTTTTGTATAGTCCTTAATTTGTCCCCCCTCACAAAAAAAAAAAACTCATATTTTAGTCACAACCAACTCTTGTTCTGTTTTTGCCGTCAGATCTCTCACTGTATTTTATTTTATGTTCAAAAGGGCAACGTGTGCAGCTCAGGATTGTTTCGTGTTTTTAGCCACTGCTGCCTTTCATAACAGAGACTGTTCACTTCTCCCCTGTGTTGGGAGAGACAAAGGAAAATGAGAAAACAGGAAGACAAGAAAGAAAGCAGACAAACGGGTATCAAAGGATAATGCCGCTTTGAAAAGGAAGACAAAGAATTACAGTTTCTTCTCAGTTTTTTATCACAAATTCCTCATATGACATGGGATTGTCACCCTCTTTACCTCCTGTTCTTTTAAATTTCTGGGCAATCAGTGGCATTAGCACTGCCTGACTGGACTTGGAAAATAATGTCTCCTCCTTCTTGAATTGATTCTTTGAAAGAAACTTCTTCTTTTCTCTTCTGTGTCAAATCATTCCAATTTTAAATTCAGTGCTTAACAGGCTACGGAGCGCACCGTGGAAGATTTATGCCAAGTGTTGCCAGGGTAGTCTGCCTTATTCATAACACCTTCATATTTCATAAATGCAGCTCAGGCAGAAGATTGAACTTTGATGTGTTCTTCACTCTAACTTTTACTCACATTTGTTGTATGTCCACTAAATCCATTAAGAGGGAGGGAGGGGGTTTAAGTCCTTGAGCTTAACTTTCTTTTTATTGTGTATGAGGGGATAAGTGTGGCTATGAAGGCCACACTACTTGTGTGCTTGTATTCAATAACATTTAGAGCGCAGTCTCAGAGAGCTCCTCACTCAGGCTTTCCGCTTTATGAAACTCTTCATAGGGACTCGTGTCTTAGAGGTGAAGTTGATGCTGCTGCTAGGTATGATGCTGTCTTTTAGATGTTGTGATCGGTTGGTTGAAAAAAAACTCAGCACCCGTTTTTGTTTTTGTCTTTCAGAGCGCACACTTAAAGTGATGTCGACAATTTTCGGTTTGATGTTAAAATGGATTGAGATGTTGGCCAGTTGGTTTGACCGCAGTCTACTTTTGTGGAAAGTCTTACATGAATAGGATTACATTCACTTTGGCCTGCAAGGTGCGGATAAAGTTTAATTATTATATCGTAATATGACAGTGCTGAAGAGCCCAAATTTGAATATATGGTGACTTTGGGCTTCTTGATGTTTTATTTTATTGAAAAAAACTGTCTAGATTATTATATAACAATAATAAAATAATTATTATATTCCATATTATATAAGGTCTTATAAAATATAGCCTTATAGAGCCTATAGCCTATCTATCTATATATATATATATATATATATATATGTATAGAGAGAGAGAGAGAGAGAGAGAGAGAGAGAGAGAAATGACCTTGTTTGCAAGGTGTCTTGACCAAGGAGCAAAAAAGGTCAGCTGCATGATTTTTTAGCCTTATAGTTGCTCTCTGGGAACTCCTGTTGGTGAGGACTTGGTGTGCTGGACACAAATAAGCAGTATATATACTCTATACTCACAGAACAGGACTGACACCACCCATTTGACAGTGGGACTTATTTATGAAAAAAACAAAAACAAATTTGTACCTCTCTTTGCACAAAGGTGTGTGTAGTGAGAAAAAAGAGTAAAAGAGAATCAAGCATACCAGTGGGGTTCTCACTGTCATTGTCAATGGACAGCCATGCACATCTTTCATCACGGTGTGTGTGTGTAATAATAGCTGTGCTGGACTCTTTCCCCTGCCAGTCTCACAGTTTGATGCTTGTTTGTCCTTCAAGTCTGGCAGAAGCTTCTGAAAACACATAACCTGTCTTGCTGTGTGTGTAAGTGCACCTACAGTGGACGGACAAAGTAACAGAAAAATCTACTTTTCACATGAGAAGAAAGCTTCAACCCTAAATATTCTTACTCTGCTCACACACTGACAATTGTTCCAGTAATTTTAAGAGCCTCAAATGTCTGATTTATAATACACTTCTCCACCAAGAACCTTTTGGCATGGACCAGAGCAGCAAAGGTCAGGCTAGATCCTTGTTAACAAGGCCTTTGAAATGAATCAGAGAGTCTGCAGTGTTTTCCTTAAGTAATAATGTAATTTCATTTTGTCCTTGAATATGTTATGAAATATTAAGTCAAAATTTCTATTTAAACAATTGTATGAATGTTAAGACATTATTGGGTACATGGCCAGTTTGTGTTATCGGGGCCCTGGGGCAAAAAATTTCACTGTCCAATCACCTCTCTGCATTATGTATATACCCTGTATTCCTCACACTGCGGCTCATACATGGCAGCTGAAATAATTTGCCTAGACACACAGAAACAGCCAGAAACTAACCAGTACTCTGCTGGAATACTAACTTGCTCCATGTTTTCTTCTGTGAATTAGTTTGAGGCATCTTGATTAAGTGTAACTTTATTTTGAAATGTAGAAAGCAGAGTACAGTGCCCTTTAGTTTGATCATCTTTCATCTCATTGTTTTAGCTCTCTGTCCCACAGATTAATTCATTTCTAAAATTTTAATTAATTAATTAAGATCAGTCTCACTACTCTTATCAATATCACCCTAGTTTCCAGCCGTAGAGCTCTTACAGCTCGGATGATGATCCCACAACCTGCCCAGCACCAAACAG